AAGATCTACTGTCTTAAAATTTTTGGATTAAACAAAAGTTTTTGGAAATGTTTATGGATTAAACAGTTCTGGTATTACAAAAAGTCAACCACCGCTGACATTGTTTTCCAAGAACCAGTCTTCTTTCTCCATAGCCACTTACCCCCAAATTTTAAGCCCCTTGGAGTGGGGCATATTCTGATGTTTGATCAATTTTTTGACGTCCTCCAACAGAGGGGTGGGGGAGTACGGTATTGAGTATTGACAAAGAATTATACATAAAAGAAAAAGGGAACTACAAAATCCAACGAATTTCCCAAATCAAATATGAAAATTGTTATTCTAAACCTACAAAATATGGAAAATAAAAACTTCTTATCCCTAAATTAATTGAAATCTTGGAGGAAAATATTAATATTTCTGAATAAAGAACACAATGAAAAATCTAGGCGTTTAGAAGAAATTGAACCTGCTTTAGAAGTTAACCCGTTAATGGAAGAACACAATCTAGAATATGGAGCCAAGAACAAAGTAGAGGAATTTGGAAGAAATACCTTTGATGGATATGGCTGTGGCATAGTGAAGAGAAGAGGAGAAAGACAATGCTTTTGAAATTGTAATGAAAATGAAAATAAGGGTTTTGTTTTCCTTTTCCTCCTTTTTCTCGGGTTCCTTCGAACCGGTAGAGGGTCATGGTTTTCTTATAAACTGGCCAGTTCGATGGATATTTAGAACTAAATGGGTTTATAAATCAAACCGGATAGAATTTCGGACCGGTTCCCGGTTTTCCCGGTTGAACCGGCCAGTCCGGTCAGATTTTTACAACATTGATGTTTAGTGCTGCATAAAAACACTTCCCTAGTAATCAAATGTGTTCCGCATTTTTGTGTTCTTTTTCTTTCTAAATTCAGGATCTCAACGAGCCTCGATTTCTGAAGTTAAAGATGCAGTACAAGCTGCTTATGATAATGCAGTAACAAGGCCAAAATTCTCGCATCTATCTGTAGCACGTTGTCCTCTTCCTATACCCCTGCCTTTTCCTTCTATATTTGGGAACCTTGTTGGTCAACATGGGGAACTTCTCGATATGGCAATTTCAGATTCTGCATCAGGAGGGTCACTTGAATTCCACTCAATTCCCATGGCAGCAAGATTGCGTTCTAGCAATGCTATTTTGCCGCTTCTGGAAAATAGGTTGGAAAATCTTCGCAAGTTTGGTATTGCTCGAGGAGCTCTAGGGACGGAGTTACTTAGAAACTGGGGTTTTGGGATGGATGAACTTGAAGACATGGGCGAGACGCTGTCTAAAATGGTTACCACACTGAAGCCTTATTCTGAAGAGTCGTCGGATTCTGATTAAGGTTGTATATCAGAGCAGAAAGTGAAACTTGAGAAAGTTGGTAGTCTGTTTTGTGTACCATATTTATCAAGAAAATTGGGTTGACATTATTTTGTAGTTTCTTAGTCTCGGAGGTAACTTTTGACTTTTTAAAAGCTTTGTAACAAGCCCTTAGTATTGAATCATTATCTATACTCAGTTGAAAATTTTGTTCATAATAATGTTCAACATGGTCCAGTATTATGTACTGAAATTTGTATCCGGGTATAGGAGATCAGAGCTGTATTATGTATACAATTATATATGTAACCTCGACAGTCTTCTCAAAATAGGAATACATCTAATACGTATAATCTTCACCATCACACACAGATCTATATCTTCGTCCAAATGCCTCGAGAAAACAAAGATCAATACCAAAAGAAGCAACTTTTCTATTCAGGATGGTTTCCCTTTTCACACAAGCGAAGTGTGATCATTAAAGGCCTCAAATCTTTTTTTGATAGGTATTAAAGGTGTTGGAAAAAATGGGCTAGTGGATGATTTTGACATAAAATTTGTGTGGGACATGTTGGTCAAATTTGGAAGATCGAAGTTGATTCTTGTTCTCCCACGTAAGAGCGTTGAAATCATATATTTATTTGCCAAAATTGATGAATGAATGAATGAATGAAAAATTGGAGCTCAAAAATGATCATTGGAAGATGGTTTATGTGGGAAATAAAACTAGTCCCACATAGGAAAATGAAGAATGTATGAACCACTTTATATAGGATTACATTTTGAAAGGGTATAATCATGTGTAGCAAGGAGGTTCTTTCCACGTGTGTGTGCAAGTGGGTTGCAAATTGCAGACCTAAATTGCCTTCGAACATTGAACTTGTATACGGGCACGACCTGCGTACACGAATGGTGAACAGAACGGAACAAAAATTGACCAAGTTGGAATGTCTACGTTTTGCAATTTTTTGCTTTTTTCTACTGATCTTTGAGTTTTCGAAAACTGCCAAAAACTCCAGAAATTGAAGCAACTCCAGTGTTTATTGCTATGGAGTTAATAGACATATTTAAACTTATATAAAATGTAATTTTTCCAGCAGTTTCATCACATACAAAAACACACGAAAATAGGAGAAAAATATTTTGCAATTTTTCTTGTCTGCATCTCGATTTCTGTTCAGTGTCGTCATTGTGGTGATATTGCTTGGATACTAGTCATTTCGTCGGAGTAGTTACTGTGGTGCTTAGATTCTACAGATTTTACTGTTATATCTTGGGAAACAGATGCTTTGATTAGACCTCAAGCATTTACGGTGAGGGGGGAATCTGTTTTAGGGAAACTGTGTTCGCACAGGCCTCGGGTTGAAAATTATTTATTTAGCGATTTACACGTTTGCAATTTACCAGATTCATATATTTTGTAATTTACTTGTTTTATATTTATGTTAGAAATAAAAATGGAAAAAATATATATGTATCTGATTTTTTGCTAACGGTTGGTAAATATAATTCGGTATATGTATGTTACATATATGGTATTTCTAGGTGTAAGTGCAGATACAGTAAGCTATCTGTAAATATGGTGGTAAGCTGTATATACGATATGCTTAAAATTGATATCTAAACTACATATACGATATGCGATAATCCGATTTCATTAATACCTCTATATTCCAACAAAAGGCCCCAAGTCTGAACACCAATCTGTACAAAATACACTCAAATATGGTACTAGTGTCATAGTACTCAGCAAATGACCACCTTTTCTTCTTGGCTGAACCAATTATAACAAAACGATGAACAACAAAGGATAAATTCTTGATAAATTTAGAGTCGACTAAACATGATATTTATCTGTCAAGGTAATTGTGCATTTATAGTTTATGCTAGGGATTATGCAATTGTGCATGTTTGAGGTGGCCTAATATGATTGTTAATGATACTGATTGTGCGTTTAGGATGATATAATCTACTGTAATTATTTTCATGTGTGACGTAAGAATCACATGTATACAAGATTATGGATCTCAGAAACAACAACCTGGTAAACCCAATTATGAAAAACACAGTGGCTGTTCATCCATATGGATGGACTGCTTTGAGATATCGTGCCGATAACTCGGGAGTATGGTCTTCCTTATCAATTATCATTACCATAATAGAGTCCCATTTCTTCGTGGTCATGAGAGTTATATTTGAAGAAGGTATTGAGAAACTGGGCTCATTGCCCACGTTAATAATGGGATGTAGTGACACCAAAGGCTTCCACTACCCAAAGATTATTATTATTATTATTATTATTATTATGGACTGCTTTGAGATATCGTGCCGATAACTCGGGAGTATGGTCTTCCTTATCAATTATCATTACCATAATAGAGTCCCATTTCTTCGTGGTCATGAGAGTTATATTTGAAGAAGGTATTGAGAAACTGGGCTCATTGCCCACGTTAATAATGGGATGTAGTGACACCAAAGGCTTCCACTACCCAAAGATTATTATTATTATTATTATTATTATTATTATTTATTTTATTTTTTTTGGGAGGAAAAAACTAAAATTAAAATTCCGATTTTTAACACTTTTTTGGAAAAATACGCCAAGAAAATTACAATTTTAAAGCCTTACAATTATTGTAACTTCTCATAGAGCTACAACAATTATTGAGAAGTTTCATTATTGCAACTTTTTTTTTTTTTCAAAAAATAAAATAACTTAAGTCCCTATCGATGTAATTTCCGGGCATATTTTTCAATTAAATGTGAAAAACTGGATTTTATTATTATTATTATTATTATTATTATTATTATTATTATTATTATTATTATTATTATTATTATTATTGCGTGGCAATTGTGAGTTTATAATTTATTACATGGTAGTCGTTTATTAATGAAAATTAGAGATTTTGAAGTACTGCTGTATCTGATCTCGTTATTTATTTATTTATTTATTTCTTTTGAATCAATAAATTTTATTAAAACAAAATTAATCAATTCTCAACAATTTAAAGAATCATAGAATTTTAATCGTATTCTTCAATTTCTAATCTCTGTTAATTAATTTCACACGGCCATGGAATTGGCAAAAAATAGGTTTTAATATATTTATTATTGAGAGTCACTTCTGATTGATTTTTGCGTCTTCTTCTTTATTAACGTTGATTTCTTGAGTCTCATAATTAATAGATGTGAGTATTAAATGTCTCCTACAAGTGAACAAATCAACAAGTAAGTGATAAGCTCAATTAATAAACAAGAATCAATCAAAACAATCAAGAAAGTGAAGAAATAGATGCAAGAACAAAGAAGTAATAATTCCCCCTTTTCTTAGGCTCAGAAACTTCGATCCAACACCACAAAGGTAACACCAACAATAGATTTTTGGAGTCCAAGATATACACCAAGTATTAGGGCACACAAAGGCAAAGAAAAATAGCTTCAAGGCACAAAGCAAGAAGGTTTTCAAAGGCACAAAGCACAGGGACTATTTTCTAGGGTTGTTGGTGTGTTTACATAGGTTTAGAGGTCAATTATATGTAGGTCAAGAAGAAAAACGAATTTCCTAGATATTCCAATAACCACCTGAATACCTTCTCCTTCCTTGAGCACACCTTGCATTGGTCAGAAGAAGGATCTTTCGAATGCTAAACATGAAACTATACTCATCCAAACACCCAGATACATTGAAACAAAGAACCATTATAATTCAAGTAATCATGTACACTTAACCCACGAGTATTCTATCTTTTGAACATACGCACGAGCAAATTACACATATCTTAGTTTAGAAAATAACATTTTGTTTCTGCCTCATCTAATAAGCATTTTTGAATTACAATATAACTGTGTAACATAAGAACTTTTTGCCTTTTTTCAGGTGTGTCAACCTACTGGGGGCAAAAATAATAATAATATACAAATAAGATCCTTGGACCAATTATAAGAAAAAATGTAGAATGTACCTCAACAGTTAAATCTTTTCCTGAGAATAAAATCTCTAACCGTAAGTGGCAAGTGGTACATTATCGACATTGCAGTAGACAAATGGCCTGTAGAGAACCAAGCAGGTGGATTATCCTTCAGCACTACATTAACAGTCTTCTCTGCAAACTCTTCCGTAGGGGTAGATTTTAGGCTTTGTGACAAATTTGCTCTTGCTCGAATCGCTTCGTCAAACTGCTTGTATAATTTCCATTCCGGCATTTTGCTGTAACTGGCCGAAGCAGAATTCCCTATATTCGACTTGATAGCTCCCGGAACAATGTTAATCACATCAATTCCAAAGGGTCGAAGTTCCAATCTGTATATATCACCAAGTAAAATGATCTAAAAAACAGAATATGTTGACTACATCTCTTATAAGAAACTAATAATAAAGGTTTCTAAGATACAGAAAACATTCAACAATAGCTGCACATCCTACGTAAATAAATACAGAAAAATTAAACAAGCAAACAAAATAAGACAAATGTGCCAAAAAGAGATCATTCTTCACAGAATTTTTTAATGTGTGATTCAAATTGGCTCTTATTTCTATACTAAACACAAACATTATATTAGCAAGGACAACATGTACTAAAACGTAAGTGCATAAAAACATTACGTTTATAATTGTTAAAAGGGAAAGGAGATGTATAGTTCTAACAAAAACAATGTAATTCATATCTAAAGACAGCCAAAAGAAAGTTCTAGATCCAAACAAAAACATAGACTAGTTCAAATAATTTGGGGCCATTAATAAGAGTGTTTTACACACTTATTTATGCTTCTAAACTTGAATTGCGGCTAAATGAGTGGGTATCTACCTAATTTAGTCTAATTACGTTACTTGTAAGAAAAATCCAGACTTGGATGCAATTAGCCGAAGAAAGGCAATTTTGAGCTTAATTTGAGTTATTCGGAGTAATTGAAGGCTAACCAAATTACTAATGATTTATAAGACGTATGAAAAGAGAAAACAGAGAAGATTAACAAGCTTTGAGAGCTAAATTCAATACTCAGAAAGTTTGGGGACGAAAATACGAACTTTCGGAACTTGATAACGGATCATTTTGTGGAGGATGAAGATCAAATTATAAAGAATTGAAAGATAAAGGATCCATGACGTAAATAAGAATGGACACGAGCTGAACAAGAGAGGAGAGTCAAGGACCAACTTAAAGAGGAAGAGGAAGAAAAGTTATAGCTTTGCTATCTCAGGGCTTGGGGACTATAAGTACATTTAGTTATCTATCAATCAAATGCAAAATCTTTTAGATACAAAACATATTCCTTACAAAGAATTTCATACGGTTGCTTAGGTTTTGAAGAAGTAGATTCAAGAAGATGATTTAAAACGTTTTTAATAGATTCAAAATTTCAACATTATTTTCCGTCTTCTTTTTACACTTAAAAATCATGAGTGGTGTATTATTAATCAAATTCATGTTTTGTAATCACATGAAGCTCAACTAATTGTATAGACGCTAGGATGACGATGAACCCTATATTTTGATATTTAGCCCTTATTTGAGCCCCATTTTTTCAAGAATTCATTTTTTTCGAAATTTATTTTTAACCACACATTCTTCTATAAAATAATTATACACATATTTCAAAAAAATTCCTTACTTTTTAATTACACATTCTCCAAAAAATCACTATTCCATAATTCATTTTATCCCAAAATGAGAATCAAACATGTACTTAATGTTAATTTCCAGATTTTGACTTTAAATATTTGTTTAGTTTGAATGATTGTTAGGTTTTCAATGTTTTCCAATTACCTGATCAGTAATTAATTAGACTTATAATTTTTATTTTGTGTGAAATAAAGAATAGCAATTACAGCACGTAGTTACAATTATTGTAAATTCTGATAAGCGGCAAGAGGGATATTTAGATCAAAAGAAAACGCAGTCATCTCGAAGAGCTAGCACCACTTCCACCGTCTCTGATGGAAAGAGGAAGCTTTGTGCCTGAAATAAAATTTAATTGTCTCAATTCTTGATAGATCGCACCAAAAATTCGAGTTCCTTTTTTTATTTCTCTATGCTTTGCATGATCTTATTAAACCCTTGTTTCGTCCCATTAAAATTATAATTGTTTTTTCTCTCTCTTCATATTAACGACACATTTTTCAATAAAATAATATTACACGTAATCCCAAATCTTTTTCTTCTTTTTTAATCACATATTATTCGAAAAAACCAACCATTAAAATTTCAAATAACAGGGTCAAAGCAAGGACTAAATGCTCTTGTGATTTAATACATCTTAATATATTCGCAACATACATAGAGATATAGTAAAGTCATACGTGAGGATAGTTTTAACATTAGTCAAGAGAGATTTTTAAATAAAATTGGAACATTGGTCTTCAATTTAGATTGGTGTTGTCAACTTTTTGAATTAATATTAAAATGGAAGAATATAATGGAATTCGATGTCTTTATGCTTTTAATTAATTGAATATCACAAACGCTTCTTAATTAGATAAAAGCTTTATATTTAGTTAGTTACTTGATTAATTTACCATCATGAAATTCAATTAATTTTGTTATTCAGTTAAAGTTACTATTAATTAGAACTAAATTAAGTTTGCACTTCTCATAGGAACGATATTGACGAAGGATGCAACGAACAAGAAAAAGATTGAGAAAAGAAGGGAGAGAGAGGAGAAAGAGAAGAAGAGGAAGCGGGAGATAATAAAGAGAATTTAGGAGAGAATGTCAACTTTATTTATATTAAAGATGTCTCTATTATAATGTACAAGTCCCCTTTATATAGGGCTTCAAAATATGTATTCTAAGTAGGATAAATTTAATCAAAATTTGGATAATCTGGAAAATAAACATAATAAAATCTTAAGAAATTTAGACTTGTTCAATAGTGATTATGAGAATTGATTTTTCCACCGTTAGAGAGAAAAGTGGGTTCTATCTATGAGTGAAAAAGTAAAAAATAACATCTGCAATAATAAAATAACAGTTAAAAAATTGATTTTTAGGGGGAAAAATTGCTACCAAACATGCACCTAGTGAATAAACCCTAATAACTTTTTTCAAAATAAGAGAAAAGTAATCATATAAATCTAATATGATATCCATAAGATACTCTACTCATTCTTTGTTATTTGGTTTCTTCACTATCGTAGGAATATACACAACAAAGAAAGACAAAAGTAAGTCTTGTTTAGGATCCACCATAAGAAACTTTTTTACTCCAATCCATTAGGTTCATTACTAGATCTGGAAGATCCAAAAATACTAAATCTTTAGCAACAACAATAGGCTACATTAATTATATATACTCCTCTCTTTTAACTTTGCTCTATGACAACTACATGACTCTTATGGACGACAGACTCTTTAGGTCTCGTAAGACCATCTAAGTTGTATTTTCCCTAATTTATCATCAATATTTGCCACCTCAACTTTATGGCATGTATTATCATTTTGTATCTTATCTAATTTATTATGATCAAACATTTATCTTAGCATCTTCATTTCTTCTACGTTTATGTTATGGACATTTTGACCTTTAAAAGCCCAACACTTGGAACCACAGAACATAGCATGTCCAATATCTCGTACGGGTTGATCAAGTGTGATCCAGTTACGACATTAAAACATAACAAGCAGCTGTTTTTCAAGTAGAAAAATAAGGTATTTAAACTTTTTTTATATGGTTAAACATTCAAACATACTGAATTTTCCTTCTAAAGTTAGCAAAAACTCTATTGAACTGTTTTCCCTTAGTCTTGTCGGCAATTAGTCTATCCAAACTATCAAGTAAAAATTGAAGTGAACAAAATCTTGTTCTCATTGGATCAGATCTAGTAGGACTAGTTCTAATCTTGTCCTAATAGTAGAGTTTCAAAATAGAATCAATAGTCCCTGCAGTTTCAAAATGAAATCAGGTTTATCCGTAATTTCCAGCATAAACAAGTTAATCCGAAAGTTTCGATTTAATCACAAATGTCAATAAATATAAACTTAAAAATTTGTCTCACAGCATTTGCTTCTGTTTTAAAGTTATTTAAAGTAAGATTACCTATTAAATTTTTCAAAAAAAGAAAAAGAAAAGTGAACCACAAATACAAATTATCATCAGTTTGCACCTGAAAATAAATTTAAAAAAAAAGAACAGTAAGACTACAAAGCTACAAGCTCAACCAGAAGATTGATAAGGTCCAATTTCAATGTATAATAGTCAACGGCCGGAAACCCACATCTTTCCAATTTCCAACACCCAAAAGAAGCTATAATTTCACACAATATTAATGTACACCTAATCATATATCGTAATCTCTCTCTCTCCATTTGGAGCTTGGAAAATGGGCTCTTCGAATATAGTGTGCTCTGGTGACAAAGAATTATGAGAGTTGCACTATGATTCATTTTGTTATATTAGTGCAAGGATTAAGTTGTGAACCTCGAGAGGAATTGTCTTCTTTCATGTCTCGACGTTGAAGTAAGATCAATCTCATGAGCTTACTATCCTAGGTTGAAACAAGTTGATAGGATTCCCTTTTTTACGTCCCCATGCCCGATATTGCGATATAGGTCGAAAAAGGAAAGAGAGGTATGGGTTTCTCTTGCTTTTGGCATAGCAGCCCCTAGTGGGAGTTTGCATGACATGCTATTAGAGACCAATCAAACTACTCGTTTGAGCTAGTTTAGCTCTAATACTTTATTGAGACTTGGAGTTCTATTTTTAAAGGTTGCAAATCTCAATTCAAGACCTTTTTTTTCTATCTTTTTTTATTTTATTTTTGAACACTTGTGTCATTCTTGGACCTCTTCTAATTTTAGTTTTCATTTTAATCGGCCCAAATTTTTTTTTCCTAATGATACTTGCATCAGGCTTGGACCTCTTCCATTTCTAGTTTTACTTTTAACTGTTTTAAATTAGTATTCTTGCAGAATTTATAGTACACAGACGCAACCCAGATCCAAAATGAATAAATACGGTATTGTATTGAGAAGAGCTCATAAAACAAGTCCCACCCCTTAAATAAGGGTATTAAAATTCTTGATCTTATCTTCAAGTTGGGTGCTCAAATCTAAGAGTGTGTTTGAGCCACATTATTTTGGTAATAATGCATTCTTAAATAGTGTATTGATGGGAAATGTGTGGTTAAAAAATAAGGAAAGTTTTTTATCTGTGTGTAATATTATTTTATTGAAGAATGTGTGGTTGAAATGATGTCAAATCACTGTTTAAGAATGTATTTTTTTGGAATAATGTGGCTCAAGCACCCCCTAAAATAATAACTCATTTTCCCGGTCTTAAAATGCTTAAAGCTCCAAATCCACGATAATAGCATAGTCTTGAACTTTTTTCCAGCATTTATCTTCTTACCGTTAATTACATCACGTAAATCCTATGTCCCCTCAATGCATCTATGGGTAACTTCTTTCTTCTATATAATCAGCCACAATGATTAAACAGGAACCGTAAGGTGATGAAACATCCTCAGTCAAGACTAAACATGAACAATTTCTCCTCTCCTCACTATTCCATTGGTAGACAGCTTCCAGAGTTCAGCTCAAAAGCACACCATTCTCGTTACAAGTCATATTTGTTGCTTAGAATCTGATGTGTTAGACTTGATTATTGAATAAACTCATACTTCCCCTCCAATTTCTCTCTATTCTCTCCCCTTTCTTCTTCTTCTTTCCTTCTCCTACGATTCTCATTCTTGTTCATTGCGTCCTGTGTCAATTGCACTATTTTGTAATTGTTTTTTATGGATAATCAGTTATTTGCATCACATTTCGAGTTTCATCAATTACAACATATATCCATAATCACTTCTCCCAAATAATTATGTCTTTTTAATGATCCAACCAGGGAACAGGAGGGCCAAAATTAAAACCCCAAGTCCAAAGCTCAAATATTAATCAATGAAAGCAAACTGCAGCTTTGCAGCCAAAAAATGCTGAAAATAAATTAAGTTCCACCACCACAACTTCCTCTATGAACAAGAGGAAGATTTAGCTCATTTAAAATATTAACTTAACAGTGGATCAAAAATAAAATCGGGAATTTAAGACATTTGCAATAACCTCAAAGTATCAGTTAGTGCGTGTAGAGCAGCTTTTGATGCAGTGTAAGCACCTGCCCATGGTACAGGGGCCAAAACGGTGACACTTCCGATATTCACAACTTTGCCCTTCTTCCTAGATGCCATGTGAGGGACCACGGCTTGGATTAATCTCAATGCACCTATGTAGAAAAGCACAATAACGACCTTAGTAAAAAAATGCTTGGGATACGAAAGAAACTAACAGGTAGTTTAGCAATTAATCAAATACAATTCTTTATTACCCTAAAGCAGAACAAGGAAATTAACAAAATGTATTAATATTTTGTAATACGAGGAATACACAAAAACATGAAAAGTGATCTCATAATACTAATTTGGAAAAGAGTACTTAGGCGCATAAATTCTAAAATGTTAAAGGAAAAACAATATTCAATATCACTCAAATTTTAGGTGCCAAAGAGATAGGAGTTACGTATCAATCATGAACATGGCAAGAGACTTGAATATGAGGGCCTTCGTGATCCGAATTAATACTCCTATAACAAATTACTACCAAAAAATTGTAGCCCAAAAGTAATCACAATGACCTAACTCAGTATATTAAATTCTGTTCACATAAATTTCTGTTTAGAATAATGCTCTCTCTAACTTCACCCCATTAGGGGGTGGCTCCGCCACCTAAACCACCGGACCCTCCTAGGACTGATAGCAACCGGCCAGGCGACCACCAACTAACATGTCTACCAGAGATCCCCTTAATTTCGACCAAATTCTACTTGATTTATCGCATGTCTTGCCCACATTATTTTGGGACAAGATTTACTTGTTTTTATTATATCTTGCTAGATGAGAGGCCTAGGCCCTGAACTCTTTTTATATTTCTTTCATTAATAACATGACACTACTTGTAGCTTTGATTTTTTCAAAAAAATTTGTCATCGAACACTTCAGAAACTATATAATTGAAATACACAAACAATCTTATGACTGATAATAGCCAAAACAAACTGCTTTATCAACAACAATAGCCTATATTTTCTTCATGAAGGGGAAAACTCCATCTGCATTTAACCTCAAACAACAAATCGGACAAGAGATTAAATATGAACCATAATTTAAACTTTGAAAAATATAATCTTGAATCGGACCAGTCCAAGAAATACCTATATGATGCAATCATTTAATCATGAACTGCAAGTACAGCATCACAATAGCTACAAGACATATATATCCACTCCTTGAATACAATCCTATCTGTTTTTAACCTCAAGCAACAAAGTCAGACGACATAAATAAGAAACCCATTCAAACTACGAAAAATATCATCCTGATTCGGATCAATCCAAGAACTAACTAAACGATACACTCATTGAGGGATCTCAGCAAAGGGAACCGATGAGGCTAAAAACGAAGCCACTAAGAATTGACAACAGAAATTGCAATTCAAGTAATCTAAGTTAAAATACAGCCATGACACTAGAAAGAGCAAAAAGAGTCTATTACCATAAAGATTAGTATTAAAGGTTTGTTCAATTGCGGATAAAGGGACCTCAGCAAGAGGACCAACGCACTGTACTCCAGCATTATTGACTACAATATCTATGCGGCCGAGCTTCTCCAGAGTAGTCGACAGCGCGTGACGAACACTCTCTCCGGATGACACGTCCAGCTCTTGGAGGAAGAATCGTGGGTCATCTTGAAAATCAGACATCGACGCCAGTGACCGGGCGGTGGCCACCACTAGACAATTCTTGGCGGCGAATGCACGGGCCAGCGCGTGGCCTATTCCCCCACCTGAACATCCTGTTAGTAGGACTACCCGTTTCTCGTAAAGATCCATGAACAGAGTCACAAAGCAATGTTACGGAAATCAGCGAGTGAACTGTGAACGTGATTTCTGGAGTTTCATTTTTGGCTGTGGCAGGACCCAGAGATATTGAGGCGGTGATTGTCAACATAGTTGGTCACCATAGTTACGATGTTAGTTTCCGTTCGGTCACCAAATTTTTTTTGGTTCTAAGTTAGTCGCTCTACATTTATTTTTATTCCAATTTAGACATTTGTGTTGTAGCTAACTTCTAACATAAACGATGTTATGAAAATACATGCTGATGCTACCAAAAAATGTCACATGAAAGATCTCGAGTTTGATGGTCCAACTTCACTTTGATGAACACAACCGGTCTGTGATTACCTGCAATAAAGGCAATGAGGTGTGTGCTCGTCGCCCCTCCGATGTTTAAGTCAGATAGGGAATTTAGTTCGTGAAGTTATAAACTGAAGATAATGAAAAACGTACCTTAGTGTTGAGCTTTGGGCAAGTATTTATAGGTGTTGGTGGGGGAGTTGTAGAATGATTCTATTATTGAAAGAGTCATTTCCCCCTTAGGATTAGGTGTTGGAGTGTGATTAGAAGTATTGTATTTGAGTTCTAATCAGGGGAGGAGTGGACTTAGGTGGGATCTATTTTCTTTTGGAGATTAAGTCGGTGGGCAGGATTGGAAAAGATACCCCGACCTTGAGTAAACCCCGACCTCAAATCGGCACAACACACCAAGATCAACTCGGGGTATTAGTTCGAGGTCGAGCATGGCACACGAACTCAGGTATAGTTCGGGGTTACCAATCCGGAATCATCACATACTATTAGACAAATCGTGCTTTCTAAATGTAATTTTTATAAATGAACGATATTAAATCCCCCCCCCCCCCCAACAAAAAAAAAAAGCACGTCACACGACAAGATGTATTTTTGTCAACTTAAGCTTCCGTTTGGGTTCCATTATTTCTCATTACATTAAATTAAATTTCTCTCTCTTCTACTTTTAACCACACAATTTTCAATAAAATAATATTATAAGTAAATCAAAAACTTTTCAACCACTCATTTTTCTAAAAAATTATATTCATCGCATTATAATCTACAAATAATAGGGCTCAAATGGCCACTTAAATCATAAAATTCATTAACAAACAGATTTTTCAAGCTACATCATTGTTTTTAATAGAGGGACACAAGCTTTATGTTGAACCGGCAAAAATAAAAAATTGAACAATCACCGATAGATTTTAGGATCTTATCATTTCTAGAGAGGATCCTACTTCGCCATCTCCCACCAATGTGAAATTCTTGAGAGGTGTTTCATGGTTTAGTCAGTATTATTATAAGCCCGTTTTCAACTCCATTCTTTAAAAAATATATATATTCTTAAATAGTGTTTTGACATTATTTCAACAACATATTTTTTTATAAAATAATATTACATTTAAATTTAAAAAAATTTATTATTTTTTTAACCATACATTTTCTATCAATACACTCTTCAAAAATGCCTTCTCCCCACCTCCCAAACGGGGCTTAAACAAAAGCTTAATACACTTGTGAGAAACTTTTGAAAAAATTACTAAGTCGTTAGACTCGTTGAAGAAGGTACAATTCGAATAGAATGAAGCTATTAAAAAATTTTAAGATTGCCTTATTGTCAAATTATAGGTAAGGGTTTTTTGAGTGCTTAAATTTGAATAAAAATAAATATTTATATCCTAAACATGCTACTAAAACGAGATAAAAATAATAATAAAATTAAGTTTACAAACCCCCGCCGCCACCGTCGCCACACAACTAATTACCTCACTATTACATAAACAAAAAAGAAGAGGAAGGAAAAACCTTAAGCAACCACTATACGTACATCCTTGCTTTTTAGCAGAATTTAATTTACATTAACAAGCCTTTTGTTGACACATAAAAATTCAATCCAAATCGAACGGCCCAAGGAATGAAGCCCAATTGGAGGGTCCCCAAATCAGATAGCCCAAAGAACGAAATCCAATCAAATAAATCAAGATGAAGGCCCAAGAACACGGTAACGCCATCGCCCAAGTTTGCAAGTCGCCCAGAACTTGAGCGAATGGAGTGTCATGCAGTCGCCCAGAGCTGTTACTCTATTCTCGCCCAAACCTTCAAGTCGCCCAAGATCTTAGCAAACATAAAGTGTTGTGGTTATCAAAAAGTGCAGTTATCAAAGCATTATTAAAGCAGCCTTATCACGTTCCACGATTCAAGGAATTCAATCGAAAACGGTTGAACGATGAAGAGTAATGGCAACAATTAAAAAAGGCAATTTCATGACAAGATGGCCATTACGAGGAAAGTGGGCAGTTGTAGAACGATCAAGCAGTTTTTAGGCGGTTGAACACAAAGAGATCATCAATGGAGTATAAAAGGGAAAAAAGACATAGAGCAAAGGACCGAATCAAAAACTCTCGAACAGAGAACATGTAATTTTAATTTCCTTAGCTTAGACTTAAACACTTTTTTTCAGTAACTCGTGTGCTTGCGCCCCTTGGAGGCATTTTTTTTATTTCCAATTGTAAAGTCATCGCCAATAAAAGAACACCCCTTTTTGGGACTTTGTCTCAAGAGGTTTGTCCCTTATACAATCGTCTGATCCCTTTTAATTGTTAGCGACTAACCTGCGCGAAATAATTTGGCACGCCGAGTGGGACAGTGGTGTTTGGTGTTGAAAATACAAAAGGTGAAACACTATGCCTCAGAGATCCGATAAGGAAGCAGCAAGTCAGGGAGGAGTCCAGTCTGTGATCGAGTGATATGAGGAGTAGCATGCCTCTCCACGAGCAGATGGACAGAATCAGAGCAGTAACAGTCGTTACGAACCAATGACGGAGTTGAGTCCTCGAACCATGCGTGCATTACTTGGAGAACTCACACAAGACGTCGTTGAACAGGTAAATCTTCGAAATATTCATAATATGAAAAGATTTACTTAAAATGGGAATGCACATTATGACAACATAGCCAAATAACTAAACACTTTGAACGAAACAATGAATAAGTTAGTGGGCCAAATATGTCAACCAGTTATACCTCTTGCAAATCACTTTCAAACTAGGACAATTGTGGGACATAATCCCTCAGTTCTAAATCCGAATCAAGGGGTAGAACCACTTTCTAGCCCCTCTACTTCAAACCAAGGTGGTACTGCAGTGCCAAATCAGAACAATGGTAGTGGTACGCCTAACTTGGGAGGTAATCCAAATATAAGAGATAATCCAAACATAACAGACAATGTCCTAAACAATGGACAGAATACCCCACGTGTTAATGAGGAAATAGATGTTCAAGCTAATGGTAATGGCCCTAATTATGGTAATTTTGTTGCCAATCAAGGACCAAACATCAGGCCTCATGCAAATCAACCGGTTAACTAGCCTGTAGGAATTTCATATGACCCTAACGTCATGTTGAGGAATCAGATTATGAAAATTGTACAGGATCAGATGGCTTTTGGAGTGCGTCTCATCGTTAGGCCGACTTACACAAAGCCATATCCTGATTGGGTAGACCAAGCATATCCATGGCCTAGAGGGTACAAAGTGCCAGAATTCTCACTGTTTACCGGTTTAGGAGAGGTGTCTACTCTAGAACACATAGGGCGATTCACATTACAAAGTGGCGATGTAACCGATTATTATAAAATGAGGCTTTTTCCTAGTTCATTAACAGGAGTAGCTTTCTCCTGATTCATCAACTTGCCAGCGAACTCTGTTCAAACATGGCAACAATTGGAACAGCAATTTCACGCTTAGTTTTATAAAACTGAGTCTGAAATTACTTTGGCTGATTTGGCGAATCTACGTCAAATGCCAAACGAATGGGCAGAAAGTTTCTCCAAAGGTTCAAGACAGCAAGAAGCAAGTGTTTTGTACCTCTGCCTGAAAAAGAATTTGTCAAAATCGCTCAGGGCTGCTTGAGCTTTGATTTAAAAAAGAAATTCCAAGACAAGGAATTTCCTAACCTTTTCCAGTTGAGTGCGAATGTGATTAGGTATGAACGAGTGATAAGAGAGGAAGAACAGATGAAAAATTCTAGTAAAGGGACTTATTACAAAGACCCAAATTTTGACGTTCATACCATCAGCGATGAGTCATACGATCAGGCCGAAATGTGTTTGGCCGAATTGGTCAAGGAAGATACGTATACTTGTCCCATAATGGCCAAGCCTAGACCATCGGGCAAAGATGAGCCCATAAAAAATGGAAACATAAAGGCTAGAACGTTCTCGTTCGATGTAACCAAAGCTGACCTTATATTTGATAAATTATATAGGGATAAGCAGATAAAGTTGAGCGATAAGCATAAATTGCCAAACCCTGAACAAATTAAGGGTAAAAAATATTGTAAGTGGCATAATGCATGGTCACATTTGACTAACAATTGCTTGGTTTTTCGCCATGTATTGCAGGATGCCATTGAATCAGGACGAATTACGTTCGACGATAAGAAGAAGATGGAAGTGGATGAAAATCCTTTTCCACAGCCACTTGGAGTGAACATGGTGACGTCTGGTTTCAAAAACAAGTTGCCAAAATTCAAGTTGGTTATAGATGATGGAGAAGAAGATCCTAGACCACTTCCCAATGTCTTTGAACGAATCAAGGGGAAAGAACCAAAAAAAGGACAAAGACGTCCTGTGTGCAAGATGTAAAAGAGAAGTGAATAGAAATACGGAGAAACCAGGGATATGGCAGCATCCCCATCGCACTGCTTTCTTCCCAAACACCCAGGTAGAGGGCGAGGTACATCATTCTATAGAGGACCGCCTTTTGAGAGGCAGTACAAGTCAGCAGATAATGGAAGAACAATCAGGCCGCAACCTCGTCGGCCAAATGTATGGCATTCATTCCAGTATAATGCAGGAAGGGCAATACCCTTTGATGAGATGACTAGAACCTAACAAAGGCGTTTCCAACGAAACTATGGACGAATGATAAGGCAGCAACAGGGAGTGCCACATCCTAAAGCGCCTAAACTTCTCAAGGTAGCCAATCAAAATGTCCTCAAAGATAGTGAAGAGACCGGTACAGATGAATCAATGAAAGAACTGCCAGAAACTTCTTCTGGGAGATCAAAGTTTGAGCGGGGCAGAAGGGATGGAGAAGATCCAGATCAAACCCTTACTATCCAGTTCGGTACGTTACCTCCTGT